TGAGTCTGGCTTCTATTGCCACAGTCTAGGAGGGCCCCAGGCAGTGGTGTGTGGGGTCAGTGGCTAAATGGTGTGGAATGGCTGTGCACAGCTTTTTTTCAGGGGGGAGGGGGAACTGGCCTGGGGCTTGCTATGTAGACCAAGCTGGCCTCAAACTCATGGAGCTCTGCCTGCCTCTGCCTCCAGAGTTCTAGGATTAAAGTCATGGCCGCCACGTCTGGCCCTGTGCACAGCTTCTTTGTCCCTTTTCCTTCGGTGAACATTAGGTCGTGTCTAGTTTGGGTCCCAATTACAGTGCTGCCACGGAGACATCCTCATCAGTGTCCTTGGGTGACCACATGGATTTCCACTTTGAGATACAGCTTTTCTTTTAGTTTTTTCTTTGTTTATTATTTATTTATTTATGTATTGAGACAAGGTCTCGAGTGTTAACCTCAAATTCTCCCCATGGCCAAAGATGACCTTCACCGTCTGTTCCCCTTGCCTCTGTCTCTGTGTGCTGCAGTCACAGGTGGGCACCACCCGCCGTGCCCAGTTCACTCAGTGCTGGGGATTGAACCCAGGGCTTTGTGCGCTAGGCAAGCAAGCCCTCCACCGACTCAGCTACATCCCAGCCCCAGCGATCCAATTTTTAAAGGATCTACCTACAAGGCAGACAAATTCCCAAGAAGTTGGGTGTGGGCGACAAGTGCCTCCTGGTGTGTGGGAGACTGGGGCCGGAGGATCAAGAGTCTGTGGCCAGCCTGGACAACATAATGAGACCCTGTCTCTCAAAACAGTGTTGGAGAAGCAGTTCATTTGGTAGAGTGCCTGCTTGGTCACACAGAGCCCTGAATTGGATGTCCAGCAGCACATGAAACCAGATGTGGTGCTGCACAGCTGTAATCCTAGCACTTGGGAAGACAAGTAGAAGTATCAGAAGTTTAAGTCTATCCTTGGCTACATAGTGAGTTTAAGAGCAGCCTGGAACACATCAATGCCTCTGCCACTTAGGGTTCCCACCTGGCTTAACAACCGTTGCTCTGAGTAGGGCAGAGCTTGGGCCTGGCGAGATGACCTGGGGGGATGGGGGACCCCTTCTTTTCAGAGATGTGTTCAGACATGATCAGGATCAGATCGGGCTCCCACGGGCCTCTAGAAGCTAGCCTTCCTCATACAAGTCACACATAATCACACAGGAGAGTTGCATGCTTCCTAAGGCGCGGGGGGGGGGGGGGGGGGGGGGGGACCATATAAATAAGTTCCTATTTGTTACCCTCCCCAAAGGTGACCACTTGGACGAGTTTCAGGTGTCAGGGAGCCCAGAATAGTATGTTACAAGTAGAGGTGGGCATCGGCTGCCTTCACTCCTGCTGCTTGGTAGCTGTGCAGCTTTGGACAATCGATTGACTTCTCTGTGCCTCCTTCCTGAAATCTCTACAAGGATAGTCTCTCCCAGGCTAGCGCCCACCGGGCATTGATGCTTCTTCTTTCTACCCATCTACCCACGTTCCTCTGTAGTGTCCTCCTCCTCCTCCTCCTCCACTTCAGGGTGGATCCCTGCTGTCTCCTTTCCTGGACACAAGGCTTTCCCCTGACCTCTCTCTAGACTCCCATCCTGACTCCCCCATCTCCTTAGGAAAAGTTCTACCCAGCTGGTTCACACTCAGATGTAGATGACTGGTTAGGGAAGTCCACAGTAGGTGGGCAGGTGCAGCCAGAGGAGGCGGGACCCTCTCCTAGCTGCCGAATGCCTGCAGACTGAGTTCTCCACACTCACCAAGTCTCCTGGAATCTCACAGCAGCCCCACCCGAAAGGCACCTTTTTTTTTTTTTTTTTTTTTTTTTGAGACAGAGTTTACTATGTAGCCTTTGTTGGAACTCACTTTGTAGACCAGGCTGGCCTTGAACTCAGAGATCTGCCTGTCTCTGCCTCCTATGTACAGGGATTAAAGGTGTGTGTCCCTGTGCCCGACTGGGAAAGCACTTTCATTGGTTTGCTTTACAGAGATCAAGAAAGCGAGGCACAGAGAGGCTTGATAATTTCCCTGGGTCACCCAGCCAGGAAAGGCCGTCTGTGCGACACTCACGGGTCGTGACTAAACTGTCTCAGCTTTGGGTGGAGCAGCCAGCCGAGGACCTGGACAAATGCAGCAGGGAGTACCCCGTGGGTCCTGGTGTGCAGATGGGGCTGGCCGTGCCATGGGAGAGGCAGGGACTTTCTGGGACCTCCGACCCTTCCCCTTAGGAGGTGGCCGGACCTGTACATGGTAGGCCCTGTGGGTCGCGTGTTCCTGGGCTTGCACAGTGGGCCCTTTCCAGGCTGTGAGGGACAGAAAGGGAGGGGCACAGACATTTGGACTTTCCCTGTTTCTTGGTTCATCCTGGGTAGCCCACCCTGAGACTGAGCAGCATATAGGGTCTCTCCTTCCCAATTCCCACAAGCCCTTGGTCCTCACCTCTTCTCCCAAGCTCAGTAGGGAAAGCTAGAGTTTTGCCATCAGGAATATGGGGTACAGTAGCTCTGTCTAGGAGGTGCTAGGGGGTGGGAAAGTCTTTTCTTCCTGCTTCCTCCGTCAGAGGTCACTGGTACCCACCCCTCAGCCAGACTCTCCTGTTCACACCATCTGCCAGGAGCCCCCCTCACAGGGGCTGAATTCCCACGCCCATTTCACAGACAGGGAGCTGAGGCTAATGCAGCCAGAGCACGGCCTATTGGGTCGAGCACAGTCCTTGAGGTGACCAGGCCAACCCTTTGTCAGGGGAACAAGGGATTCCTTCTCCCTAGCCCTCCCCTGAGCCGGCTGGCACGGCCAGGCCCCTTGGCCCCCACTGGCCATCTGAAGTCGGATTGTCCATGGAGGGGAGGCTGCTGGCTGCCTAGTGGATGTGTGGGGCCGCATCTGGTCAGAGGCAGGGGTCTGTTTGCCAGTGTGGTTAATGGGCTGTGGTGTGAAGACAGGGACACCCCTCTGTAAGAGCTGGAGAAGGGGCGGTGGGAGGCTGTGGAGGCTGCAGCTGGTGACTTCTGTGGAATGGGGGAGGGCGGGGAGTCAGAGCCTGGGTTCCTGGGGGCTGCCCTGTAGACATGGACTGCTCGGGCCTTCGCTGGGCAGAGAGTGAAAGATGAGGTGATAGCGGCTATGTACTACGGGACAGACAGGATGGCAGGTATCCTCACTCATTTAGGGAGCTCCTTAGAGAGTGGATGGAGTCCAGGTTGGGGACCTGTGACCTGGGCTTCGCATCTGCCCCCAGGCCTGGCTACCACCCTCTCCTCCACAGCATGGGGTAGACTAGATACCTGGGGTGGATCCTAGCTCTGACCTGCCACAAGAAACTTACCTGCCCTGTGCCTCTGTTTCCCCTTTTTTATGAAAAGACCATGGTTTGGGGTTGAGCAAGGGCTTTCCAACATGGCTAATGGAGGCCGTGGATGCCAGTTTGAAGACCCTGGCTGTGCTGTGCCAGTCTCCTGCACTCAGACTGCAGGCACTGCACTGGCATCCAGTTTTTACTGGACATGGAGGAAGGCACTGTCCACACAGCAGGAAACTGAGGCTCTAGGAGATTGAACAGCTGGCCCGGGTCACACAACAGAGGTGAGAACCAGGCTCTGCATCCACCCACTCTGTGGAAAAAAGCCCTTGCTCGACCGCGAGTCCATCTTGACAAACCCTCCACTCCCTAACTACACTCTCATGGACTCAGGTACCCCAAGCCCTGTGCCTCTCAATCTTGGACTGTCCCTGGAAGTCGCCGGGTTCTGCTTTTTCATTTGTGCCCCAGTGAGGGGACGGGGCTTGGCCACAGTCACCCAGTGACCCAGAGACGGAGCCTGCCCAGTTTCGGGGCCCCCCACCTCCCAGCCTAGGGTTTGGGGGCCTCAGCCACCCCTCCCCACAATGGGTCAAGCTCCAAGCAGTGAGGAGCCCTGAAGGGGCCCTTCTGCACAGGACTATACCTGCCTGTGGGCCCCCCTTTCTCTTTGAGACTGTGGGATCCAGGAGCTGGGGGGACTACATCTCCAGTGTCTGGTTCATGGATACTATTCATTCTCTCCATTCTCCTCACCCATTGGTGTCTGTCTCGCATGCCCCAGAGGCTAGAGGCCGAAGGTAGCACAGTAAACCAACAGATGAAATGCGTCCCTTCAGGGGCCTTGCATTCCTAGTAAGGGATAGACAGTGAACGCAATAACAAATGTAATAAGAAACAAAAATGCCCTGTCCTAGATGGTGGCATCTGATCCAGAGAAGCAAGGAGTGGGGGATAATGCCATTTTAACACAGCGGTCCTGAAACGGCACTATAAGGGGGCGCTCAAGTCTTGGAGGAGGAGAAGTGAGCCTCTGTGGTATTTGTAGAAAGAACGTTCCAGGTGGAGGGGCAGCAAGTGCAAAGGCCCCGGGGCGGAAGCGTGCCTGGGGTGTTTAAGGCTGGAGGTGTGGCCGGAGTAGGTAGAACAAGGGAGAGAAGCATGTGGGGTGGGGTGGGGGTCTGAGGGGGACCATGAAGGCAGCAGATTACAGAGGGCCATTGAGGCCATGTCTAAGGACGTAGGCTTTTGCTCTGAGTGAACTGGGAGCCATGGAGAGTTCTGAGCCGAGAGCAGGCAGGAACTAACAGGATGATGGAGCTTTGAGCAGATGGTGGGGGAGGAGCGCTGAGCATCTGGAGGCTCCTCAGGCCCTCAGAGGAGGCGTGGTGCGGGCTGGACAGGGGAGGGGCAGGAGAGGAGGATGGAGCTGAGGCCAGGTATGAAATGCTCAGGATGTGGCTGTGACAGTGAGGGGTCAGGTGAGCTCCTGCAGTCGTTGAAGGACAGAGTGCTCGTTCTGGTCTAGGCGTCAGGGAACTTGGGCTCATGGCTCAGCTTGCTCAGTGGCCTTGGGCAAATCCCTTCTGTCAGGACTCAGTTTCTTCTTACGTACAATGGGAGCAACCATACTTGTGCCAGCCCACGTTTAAAGACTACGAGGATGATGAATACTTCAGGGACCTGTCTCCCCTCGACTACAGGGAGCCCGAGCCAGCAACCGCCATGGCGTCACGCATCGGGCTGCGCATGCAGCTCATGCGGGAGCAGGCGCAGCAGGAGGAGCAGCGAGAGCGCATGCAGCAGCAAGCCGTCATGCATTACATGCAGCAGCAACAGCAGCAGCAGCCGCAGCCGCAGCTGGGAGGACCACCTACCCCAGCCATCAACACCCCAGTTCACTTCCAGTCGCCACCACCTGTGCCTGGGGAAGTGTTGAAGGTAGGGCCTCTGCCTCGACTTCCGTCCCTGCTCCAGGAGTCCCAGCCTCCTCCACAGCTGTGCCTTCCCCTTCCCCAGGTGCAGTCCTACCTGGAGAACCCCCACCTCCTACCACCTGCAGCAGTCCCAGCACCAGAAGGTTCGCGAGTACCTATCTGAGACCTACGGGAACAAGTTTGCGGCCCACATCAGCCCAGCCCAAGGCTCCCCGAAACCCCCACCAGCAGCATCCCCTGGGGTGCGGGCTGGACATGTACTGTCCACCTCAGCCAGCAACAGTGCCCCCAACAGTCCCATGGCCATGCTGCACATCAGCTCCAACCCTGAGAAGGAGGTGAGTGAGGGATGTCGGTTTGGGGTCCCTTGTAGCAGTCTGGAAAAGTCTAGTTTCGATGGCTGAGGTGGAGCTGTGTCTTCAGGGAGCTCCAGTCTGAGGGAGACACGGTCCTGCCTCAGGGAGGGAGCCCTGGTCTGAGTTGAGCTACCATCTTCTTACAAGCTCGGCCGGAGATAAGGCAGACTCAGAGAAAAGCCGAGCGCTCTCACAGCTCTCAAGAGCTCCCTGGCCAGGGGTTCCTGGGGACAAGCCTAAACCAGCCTTAGGCTCAGCTCTAGGGCCCTTCTCCGGTCGGTCCATTTCCTCCTCTAGATGGGGAGGTTGGGTGAGGTGGTGGTGTGGGAGGTGAACGGCTGCCCCTCTTTAGGTGGGCCGTCCCCCAAATGGACTTTTCTGTCTTCTAGTTTGACGATGTCATCGACAACATTATGCGCCTGGACAATGTGCTGGGCTACATCAACCCTGAGATGCAGATGCCAAACACGGTACTCTTGGGGTGGGGGAGGGGGCTGGCACACACAGTGGTTCCAGGGCTGGAGAGATGTCAAAGCAGAGCTGGTGTCTCTGTGGAGGCAAGAGTCACCTCCATCAAGTACTGTGACATGGACTCAGGGACCCTGAGTAGAACTGAATCAAGAAACACAAGCTGGATATGGTTAATTCCAGCTCTTGGGAGGCAGAGGCAGGTGAATCTGGGAGTTCAAGGCCAGCCTGGTCTACAGAGTGAGTTCTAGGGCAATTGGAGCTATATAAGTGAGACCTTGCCTAAGAAGGAGAAAAGACAGACACGCCCCAACCTTGGCCAGTGTGTGTGATAGGGCAGTCTCAGGGAGTTCCCTGAGTGGGGTAGAGGGGAGGCTGGAAGAACCTTCCAGAGCAGCAGTGTGTCCAAATCAGTCAGCCCTGAACTGATTGTTCCTATGAGGATCTGTGGATCCCCTCCTCTGTTGTGCCCAGGGCCAAAGGTTTGTGTTACTCGCTCGGTAGGGCTGGCCTTGTCCCCAGCCACAGGACCCTTCTGACAGTCTTGTCTGCAGGATCATTCTGACTCTTGGCTTGGGTTGTGGGGGGATCAGGAGGGACCAAGTGGGGGGTGGGGGTGGGGCTGGAGAGATGGCTCCATGGCTGACAGGTGGGACAGCTCTTGCAGAGGACCCGAGTTTGGGAACTCAGACCCATGTCCATGACCTGTAACTCCAGCTCCAGGGATCCAACGCCCTCTTCTGGACTCTGTGGGCACCTGCACAACCCCGCACGTGGACACAGACGTACACACAAAATGTAAACATAAAACCAAAGTTAAGAATAGAGCACTGTGACAGGAGTTAATTCCCAGCAGCAGACCCTTTTTTCTTGGGGCTCACCTGTTGGCTCTGGGTCCTTTGGCTGGAGCAGACTACCGAGTATTGCCGTGTCAAGCGAGAAAGTCCCCAGAGGGAGGAGGTCGTCAGTCTTCTGTTCCTACTGCCCTGGTGACATTGCTAGGGGCCTGAGCAGGAGGCAGAGCCGAGTTCAGACCTATTGCTAGTAGGCACTGAGGTCAGGAGCAAGGTTCTGCAGTTAATTATCCAGTCACCTCCCTCAGTGGCTCCCATCCACACAGTCTCCAGGCCCGTGGCTGGCTGTGGTGGGAACCAGCCAGTCTTTCTGAGACCTGCCTGTAGCATTTATTATCCATGCTCCTGCTCTGTTCCATACTCTCAGAAACTCCCAGATCGATTGAGCTCCTCCCAGGCCGTCTCCAACAGGACTTAATCCCATCACTGGTTAGGTTCCTCCTCCACCCCTCCGCCCAGGCCACCCCTCCGCCCCGGCCCAGGGCTCCTGAGGGCAGGGCTGTGCTAGGCCACACTTTCTCAGATTGCACAGCGAATCCTGGAGAGGGGCTTGCTCGGGTAATTTTACCACTCCTTCGAACCGCCGCTCTTGGCACCATGGGTCCCGGTGAGGACTCACCAAACCCCTCTCCACTCCTTCCTCTACAGCTACCCTTGTCCAGCAGCCACCTGAATGTGTACAGCGGCGACCCCCAGGTCACAGCCTCCCTGGTAGGTGTCACCAGCAGCTCCTGCCCTGCTGACCTGACCCAGAAGCGAGAGCTCACAGGTACTGCCGTCCTCTCTCCCATACCCTTGGGGTTCCCCCTTCTCCTCTTTTCTCCCTCCCTTCTTCCCACCACCTCTCCCCTTCTCTGACCTCCAGATGCTGAGAGCCGGGCCCTGGCCAAGGAACGGCAGAAGAAAGACAACCATAACCTAAGTGAGTCCCGCCCCTCCCTCATCTGACCAGGGCTGAGAAGCTGGCACAGCCTCGCTCCCCACCCTAGCCCTGTACCAGCAGCCATTGTCCTAGTCACCACATGCTCCAGGGCCGCTGAAACCCCCACCTTTCAACTAGGCCAATGGTTCTCAACCTTTGGGAGTCAACCATCCCTTTCATAAGGGCCACATACCAGATATCCTACTTATCAGATATGTATATTATGATTCATAGCAGTAGCAAAATTACAGGTATGAAGTAGCGATGAAAATAATTTTAGCCGGGTGGTGGTGGCGCACGCCTTTAATCCCAGCACTTGGAAGGCAGAGGCAGGCGGATCTCTGAGTTCAAGGCCAGCCTGGTCTACAGAGTGAGATCCAGGACAGGCACCAAAACAACATAGAGAAACCCTGTCTTGAAAAACCAAAAAAGAAAGAATTTTATTTTCCTTTTACTTCAACATGAGAAACTGTATTGGAAGGTTGCGGCATGAGGAAGCTTGAGAACCCACTGCTCTAAGTCTTTTTAGGAAACTGGGAGGGGCTGCTGGGAGGCATTTTCTTGAATTTTCCAGTTCATTAGATTTCAGTCTTCAGGGCCTGGGGCAATAGGAGTGGAGGTGATTGCCCCAGGGAACTCTCTGGCTGAAGCTGGCTAGGTCTCCTGACCCCACCCCTAACTGTCTAAACTACCCTGACCCTCCGCAGCCTGCAGTCCCAGCCTCGGGACTCTGCTTCCTTTCTTTTTCTTTTGTCTTTTTTTGTTTTGTTTTGGAGACAGGGTTTCTCTGTGTAGTTTTGGTGCCTGTCCTGGATCTCACTCACAGAGATCCACCTGCCTCTGCTGGGATTAAAGGCGTGTGCCACCACCGCCCGGCTTGTTTTTTTTTTTTTTTCTTTTGAGACAAGGTTTCTCTGTGTAGCCTTGGCTGTCCTGGAACTCACTCTGTAGACCAGGCTGCCCTCAAACTCACAGAGATCCACCTGCCTCTGCTTCCTGAGTGCTGGGATTAAACCATCATGCCAGGCCTTGGGTCCCTTTTATTTTAAACTAAGATTTTCTATGGGGTGCCCACTCCAGGTTGGGGGCTTCTCTTAGGTGGGGCCCCACCTTTCTAACCATGCCCCTGAAATCTTAATCTGTAGTTGAGAGGAGACGCAGGTTCAACATCAATGACCGCATCAAGGAGCTGGGAATGCTGATCCCCAAGGCCAATGACCTGTGAGCAGGTTTCTGGAGGGAGGGGAGGGGCTGGGCTGGGCTGGGCAGCGGCTGCGAATGTTACCAGTTCTCGGTTGCTAAGGGCAGTGATGGAGGTAGCATGTTTGAGAAAAGAGGGTTCCTGCCTCTGCTGGGTCAAGACAGCTTCTGTTGGGAAGGGAGGCTTTGGGGTACAGGGGGGACTTCCTGGAGAAGGAGTCATGGGGAAGTGTCTGAAGGGCCCTGGGCTGATGGAGAGGAGAGAGATGCAGGGCAGGAGTGAGGACAGGGAGATGGGTATGGGTCAGGCAGATTGCTTGAGCCCAGGGATTAGAGAGGAGCTGGTCATTTCTGTGGACAAACCCCCTTTTCTCAAGGCTCAGCATGGGCAGGGGTGGAGGCAGCCGGGGCTTTGAACCAAGTCTGGTGTCAGAGGAACCTGGCCAGGCCTCTGTGCACACCTCTGACTCCGCATGGCTGTGGCTGCAGGGACGTGCGCTGGAACAAGGGGACCATCCTCAAGGCCTCTGTGGATTACATCCGGAGGATGCAGAAGGATCTGCAGAAATCCCGGGAGCTGGAGAACCACTCCCGGCGCCTGGAGATGACCAACAAGCAGCTCTGGCTTCGCATCCAGGTCTGGCCCTGACTTTGGGCTCCTTGGGTGGCTCCCACTGGTCTCCTCTGGCTCCAAAGCCCTGGGTCAGGCTGTGAACATCTGAGGCTGGAGATCTGGAGAGAATGCCCATTAGGGAAGGAAGCTGTATCTGTCAGGATATTTGCTGCTTAAAGCTGTGACTTAGAGAGAGATCCTGGTCTAGATTCAAGCTGCCCCCCCACCCCCCCCCCCACCCCGCTTTCCTCTCCAGCCAAGACATGCTGTTCTTGAGTGTCACAGGGGAAGGGGGCAGGTGGTGCAGCAGGGCAGAGGGAGGGCCAGCCTGGTGCTGGTATCGTTTACCTCACCACCCCATCTGTCCCCAACAGGAGCTGGAGATGCAGGCGCGAGTCCACGGCCTGCCCACCACCTCGCCGTCCGGTGTGAACATGGCTGAGCTGGCCCAGCAGGTGGTGAAGCAGGAGCTGCCCGGTGAAGATTGCCCTGGGGAGGTTCTGATGCTGGGGCCTGAGGTCCCTGACCCTGAGCCGATGCCGGCTCTACCTCCCCAGGCCCCGCTGCCCCCCGGCCGCCCAGCCTCAGTCTCCTTTTCATCACCTGGACTTCAGCCACAGCCTGAGCTTTGGGGGTGGGGGTGATGAGGGGCCCACAGGCTACCATGATCCCCTGGGGACAGAGCATGGCTCCCCGTTCCCCAACCTGTCCAAGAAGGATCTGGACTTGATGCTCCTAGATGACTCCCTGCTGCCCCTGGCCTCCGACCCCCTCTTTTCCACCATGTCCCCTGAGGCCTCCAAGGCCAGCAGCCGGCGGAGCAGCTTCAGCATGGAGGAGGGCGATGTTCTGTGACGCTGGCTGCCCCTGTGCCAAGGAGCAGGGGCTGCCTGGGGGCTGGGAGGACAGGGCAGAGCCCTCCCATCCTTCAGGCTGCACTTGGTGTGAAGTAGCCGCCTCTACCCTGCCTCTCCTTCCCTGTGGTTGGCCCGTTTGGACTTAGTGCCTGCCTGGCAGCCGATGGGCTGGAGAAGCCCTCCCCTTCGGCTTAGGGCCCCTCCTCTGGGGGCAGAATTGTGATGGGGAAGACCATGGGTGGGGTGAATGAGGGATAAGAAGAAACCCTGGTAGGGGAGCCCTCTCTTCTGAGCCTGGGCCCCTCCATGAAGGACATTTTGGAGAAGGAGGTATAAGAAGTACCTCTGAGGCAGCAGCTGGTCTGGGGGTGCCCGGGCCTGCCTTCCTGGGACTAGATGGTGCCCAGCCTGTCGCCCAGCCTGATACTTCCCCCACAGGTGGGGCACCCACCCCCCTTTGGTGCTAACAGCTCTCCCCTGGTGGTATGAGGGTGGGGTGGCCAGAAGAGGAGTCTGGGCTCAGGGTGGAGAGCACCCCCGCCCCCGGACCTCCCACTTTGTGCCTTTAGTAAACACTGTGCTTTGTATCACGTCGTCCTGGCTCTGCGGTGCATGCGGCCTCCGCTCACAACAGGCGGGAACCAGCCCAGTGGGCCCCTTCCTGGATCCAGAATTCAAGTGCTCCCTGAGGGTCTAGAGGAGGTTCTCCTGAATTCAGCCCTGACTCCAAGGGAAGAGAGAAACCTTTACGGTGTGCGACTGGGGGCATTGTGTCTCACTGGTGCCACGAGGTGGCGCTGCAGCCACGCTGGTCCCACAGCTCCAGCTGTGGTCTGAACAACAGTGCTGCTGAGTGTGGACAGGTGTGCTCTCAGAGCCTTCCCTAGGTGTTGCTCTGGCTGGTCGGTGTTCTAGTGGGGCCCCCAACATTCGTCCCCTTCCTTCCGCTTGGAGGTGACCCCCAGGCTGTATCCTTATGGCTATGGGGAAAGGGACCAGCTTGAACTTGATTTGGAATAGATGAGAACAGAGGACCCTGGCTAGGAGTCCAAGGTGTGGGCTCACCTCCTTTCTGCTCCAGCACTGTCCGGTAGTGGGGTTCCAGGACACCGTTTGCTCCAGGTTCTGGGATGTTAGTCCCTTTCCCTGGATGGGGAAGCGAACCTGGTGCCCGGTAGGGCCTTTGCAGGTTTTACTTGGTTCCTCGATTTTCAAGGCTCTTCTGCCAAGGGACCAAAATAGCTTTCTCTTCAAAGGGCCCTAACAGGCCAAAGAAGCCTAATTTAAAAGAATTTTTAAAAATCCCAGGATGAAATGTCCAAAGGGCAATTTCCTCTTCGAAGAACGAGATCCAGTCAACATTGGAGAATTAACATGCGGAGAAAGAAAGCGCCCAGCGGTGTGAGCTGAAGGACTGATTGATCTCAAGGTTAGATGGAGCTGTGGATGGCCTTGTAGAGCCTCAGTCGGCCTGGGCACATCTCCTTCCAGTTCAGGGTCCTTCTCTTTGTCTGGGACCTACCCCCCCCCCCCAGACCCTCCCTCTGAGACTCCTGGTGAACCCTGAACTCTGGCTGAGGTCTATTGGAGCCTAGGATGTGGGGTCTACAGACTCAGGGGCCAGCACTTCCGGTGGTTAGTGGATCTGGTCTTCCATCACCTTGGGGAGTGACGTGGGGAGCTGCCTACTATGTCCTCATGTAACCCCTCAAAACCACACTAAGCTACCCCTGTCACCGAGACCTGCAGCTTCCTGGTCTCAGGGTTCCTTTGTTCACCGCCTGCTGTGTGGGCAGCGGGTCAGCATGGCACATCGGAGGGACCGGGGTGTGAGTGGGGTTCTGTCCACACGAGGGCGCGCGGGCTCAGGCAGCAGTGTGGGGAGTCAGTCTCAGGACTGAGCGGTCCACACTGCCTGGAAGGCTTCCCTCCTACCTGGGGCTGCTGCTGTCCACCTCTGTGGCTAACTCCAAACCAGTCGCTGCCTCCAGCACTTCAAGCCACCGGAAAATGTATCAGAGACTGGCTGGCAAGACCCTCACCTGTGGCTGGAAAGGAGTCAGGCTGCGGGTTATGACTTTCCCCCAGTTAAACAGGGGACTCTGTTCTTTGTCCTTAGAGGGTGGGTAACCTTTGGGACATCTGCAAGGGGAAGTCTTGTTGAGGCTGAGTGCAGAGTGCTTTGACACAAAGATGGCCCCGCTGACCCTTTCCTTCCAGCGAGGGAGACCCCTTTAAGGCCTTGGGGACAAAGTATGGTGGGACGAGTTCCCAGCAGCCATAGCTTCCTTGGGTCCCATGTGGGAGCGTCCGGAAGGAGCTGGGGGAGCAGAGATGGGGCATATCCATAGCATCCTATCCCCTGGCCCCTCAGCTCCAGTTCCTATGTCTGTCTGTCCACACCAGCTGCTCCCTCTTCCCTGGTTGCCAGTTCTGCATTGCCTGTCATCTACAGGGACATGGGAGCCCAGAAGGTCCTGCTTGTCATTTCCATCCCCACCATTCTTTCCAGTCTGATTCTTCATTTACTATCTTGTGGCCTTTACCACGCTGAGGATGTGAGACACACTGCTGCACACCCAGAGACACCTTCCCACTTCAGCAACACCTGCCCCTGCCCACCTTGAGGCCTAACCCCTCCCCGGCCCTCTGAGCGCCCTGGCTGGTCATCGGAGCCGCTGGAAAGAGCCTTTAGTGCCCTTCCTGCTCCACCTCCCAGATCCCCACCCCTGTGGTCCTGCCCCCACCCCTCCCGCTGTCTTCCAGACTCTTCTCTTCTTTGCTCTCTCTTTTCTGAGGGGACAGTGGAATTTATACAATATTTAAGCAGCCAGAGCCAGGTCCTGGAAGATATTATTAATGTAAAAGGGATAGGCCGCAAATGCTTTTGGACCTGGTTACAATTAGAGGGTGATTTTTCTAAAGGTCAATGAATTCAGATAATATCCACAGGGGGGAGAGAAATTTAATACCTTTTTAGTGAATTAATTAATTATAATATTATATCGGCTTGGGGTTCTTTTCCAGAGTGATTAAGGCAGCGATCTGTCTTCTGTGAGCTGGCTGCCATGAGGACCCTGTCACGGGCTTGGCGAATGGGCCCTTCACTGCTCTCACCAGGCAGGTGGGGGTTGGGGAGGAGGCAGAAGGCTCCGAAGGGCTGCAGCAGGTGGGAAAATGCACTGTGCCCTGCTCCTCAATATGCATGCCCAGCCTGCTTCCTGCTGCCTCAAGCCTCATCCCACAGTGACTAGAGGAATGTCCTTTACGCTTGGGGAAACTGAGGCTCATAGACTACCAGATCTTGCCTGAGCATGTTGACTGACGACTGCCAGGCAGAGCTGGCTGGAAACACTATTCTCCATCCGTCCCCTAAGCCAGGCAGTCTGGACAACCAACCTTCCACTGGCAAGGTTCAAATGTGGCGTCTGCTCTTCCTGTCACGAAACTATTACAGGGCGTGGAGTGTGCCCGTGAGGCTGCGGGGCTGGTGAGGAGCTGAGGTGTCTGTCCTGGGGAGACCTGCCCACGGACACATTTGTTCCTGTCTTCAATCTCTAGTCATCTGACAAGCCTTCATGGCGCACCACTTTGTTCCATGGCAGACAGGCTGAAATTGTCACTCTGGAGTCTCAGCCATTCTTGGAGTAATGGAGAGTGGGGGCCCCCTGCGGCTAGCGGGGCGTCACTGAGTAACTGCTAAGCACTCACTGAGAGCTGACCCTAGCTGGATATCCTTAGCGGGATAAAGGACTAGACTGTTTCAGTGAGCTACAGACATGTGAGCTGGGGACACGGATGTGACGGTTGGGAGCAATGAAAGGGGCAGAGTTGCAATGAGCTGAGTCTCTGGGGGCCAGGCTGACAGGAGCGCTCCCCCTGCAGGAGGAGGAGGGAACACTCTAGGTGTGGGACGCTGATGTGCAGTAAGGCCTGAAGGTGCAGAAGCCAAACGAGTGAGGGTCCCTGCCGATGGGCCTGGCAGTCTGAGGCCGGGCACGGCCTGCTCACATCCCGCTCACATCCCAGATGTGTTGACTGAGGCTGTTCCACAAGGCCACAGCGTCTGGGCGGGAGGCTGGAAGCAGCAGGAAGCAGCAAAGCCAAACAGACCTACATTTCATGGTGGACTCTGACACAGCTTGCTGCGTGGCAGAGTCTGTGCCTCAGTTTCCCCGTCTGTGATGGAGATCTATAACCACTCAGGCTGCTGTAAGGGACCGAGGAGGAGTTAAACGCTGCTTTCAGCTCTCCCGACATCCTGGGGGTGGATGGTCACTGCCCCACCCCACCCTTCTTTCTTTTTGAGGGGGCAGCATTGGAAGCTCCGGGTTAGGGATGGCCTTTGTTGGGGGATAGACTTTTCCCTTGGCTCTGCTTTTCCTTCTGCCCGCCCCGTCCCTCTCCCTCAATGCCCTCCTTGGCCTGGCTCCCCCAGCCCCTCCCCCACCGGCTCACTCCGTGTGCGGCAGGCCAGGGAGGGCCTTCCCATTGTACTATCTTTGGGCCCTAAATTAAAATTGATGACATCTTGAAATGAGCAGTGAGGGTAATTTTGCTTCGGAGCCGGGATGCTAATGAGGCCCCTTAATGGTGCAAATGCTGAGCTGACGGGTCGTGTGTCACAGGCAGCAGCTAGGGGGGTAATGGCCGCGGTAAGTGCTGGTAATTACACCCTGTCTTGCTGTATTTTGGCAGGCCTGGTGGGAGAGCAGAGGCTCAATCACCGCTGGAGGGGACACCCCCACCCACCATGGGACTGACAGCCAGGGATACCCCCTGGGCCCAGCCAGGCCCCCTTAACGCCAGCCCCACCTAGAATAAGGGTCTTGGCTGCAGCCTTCAACACACGCTATACAACCCACGGTCACACCACCGGACACCCCTCAGCCTTGCACATCCATCCCCAGGGCCTGGGCATGTTTCCCATGTGTCCCTGCACCTGGCACCATGCACATGCATGGCTTGCCCAGTATACTCCCTGTGAACACAGAAAGTTCTGTGTATAGGCACATGTAAACCCACACACAATCGCCTTCTCAGTGAGCATGCACTGAGCACCTACTGCCTTGCCCCACATCTTTCCCCCGCCTCTCTTTTACACAGTCACTTTATTTATTTATCGATTAATTTATTTTATTTTCTGTGCCTAAGTGTTTTGCCTGCATGTATATCTGCTCTACGTGTGTCTTGTGCACGAGGAGGCCAGAAGAGGGCATTGGATCCCCTGGGACTGGAGTTACAGATGGTTGTGAGCTGCCATGTGGGTGTTGGGAACTGACCCCCCTGTTCTGTGGAAGAGCAGCCTTTATTAACCACTGAATCATATCTCCAGTTCCTCAAGGACTACATTCAATTTTTTATTTTGTGCATATGTGTGTGTGTTTACCTGTCCATATGTGAGTGGGTATCTACAGAGTCCAGGAGAAGGTGTTGGATCCCCTGGAGCTGGAGCTACAGGTAGTGGTGAGTGGCCAGATGTGGTTACAGTTACAGATGTGGTTACAGTTACAGATGTGGTACTGGGAATGAACTCAGGTCCTCTGCAAGAATAGTACATACTCTTTTTTTTTGTTATTGTTGTTGC